ACAGGGAGCTCTGGCGTGGGCTGGTCCATGAGATCATGAAGAGTCGGAGATGACTGAACGAATGAACAACAAGGCCTTCTCGCGGACCACCATGAGAATTTTGGGGGGGGGCTGAAGCCCCCCAAGGCCCCCCCTTCGGCTACATGCCTGGATCTGGACCAAACTTGGCGTGAATACTCAGTATGCCCAAATGTGAACACAGATGGAATTTGGCGGAAATAGACCTTGACATTTAGGAGTTGTAGTGCTGGAATTTCTAGTTGACTTACAATCAAAGAGCATTCTAAACCTCCCCAATGATAGAATTGGGCCAAACTTCCCACACAGAACCCCCATGACCAACAGAAAATACTGTGTTTTCTGATGGTCATTGGCAACCCCTCTGACACCCCCCTCACGACCCCTCAAGGGGTCCTGACACTCAGGTTGAGAAATGCTGCTCTAGTGCCTCAGCAAACTACAACATGCAGAGTTCCATCGAATCCAGGTCCGAATGCAATTATCATGTAGTATGAAAGGGCCTGTAGAGTTAGGTCTCATTTTTTCTAAGATTTGTAGCATAACACAGTGACGGGTTTACCAGTCAGGAAACTCGGAAAGCTTCCGTGTTTCAGTGTTTGTATTGACATGACTGTCACAGCGTATGTGTTCCCACCAAGTCTCTCGTTTCGTATTTGTCTTGAAATACATTGGTTTAAAAAATGATTTTCTGTATCTTATGTGTAAATAGATATATTAAAATAAGCTATGGGATGTATAGTGCAGTATAACAATGATAAATGATGTTGTGTGCAATTTTTCTACTATTAACATAAAGTAATATAAACTGAAGGACACTAGTCTATTGAGAGAGTTAGTAGCTAATGTTCCATATCAGATGTGGACAATGTCAGGACTGAATACAGATTAGGCAGTGTCCTTTTCTCCCCAGGGGAATTAAACTTTGAGACACCACTGGCTGCCGATGGTTTTACTGCATTTTGTTGGTGCCTCTGGTGCCTTTCTTGGTCTATTAATTCAGGAGCTGTAAATGACAATGTGAGTAAAAAGCTTTTCCAGTGGGATGCATTTCATTTATGCATTCCTGTATCCACGGTACCTGTTCAATCCATTTTTGTCACAATAACTGTATAAAAACCGTATGGATTAACTACAGTTCTTCTTGGATCACGGCAATTTTTCTCCCTTCTGTTTCCTTTATTAGAACGCAGTAACACTATAATTTCCCACAAATGGGAATATAGATCTATTCAACTCTTTAAAAATATAACAAGGGGGAGGGGGGTACTAAGAAGAAGGGGGAAACATTAACATATGTCATTCAACATCACTCAAAAACAAAACAAAAGAGCATTGATAACACTGTTCAACGGAGAAAAAGTTGCGTGCCTGTAAATAGTTGTTCTTTCATGATTTTGGGGTGCTGAAAACGAAAATGACATTTAAAAATGTATATTGGCTCTAGTTTTTATGATATAAGCCAGTGTTTCTCAATCTTCCTAATGCCGCGACCCCTTAATACAGTTCCTCATGTTGCGGTGACCCCCAAACATAAAATCATTTTCATTGCTACTTTAAACTGTAATTTTGCTACTGTTATCAATTGTAATAAAAAGATCTGATGTATTCACTGGACCAAATTTGGCACAAATATCCAATACACACAAACCTGAAAAGGCAGAGGAATGAGAGACCAGACTGCCAATATCCGCTGGATAATGGAGAAAGGCAGGGAGTTTCAGAAAAACATCTACTTCTGCTTCATTGACTATTCTAAAGCCTTTGACTGTGTGGATCATAATAAATTGTGGCAAGTTCTTAGTGGGATGGGCATCCCAAGCCACCTTGTCTCTCTCCTGAGGAATCTGTACAAGGACCAAGTAGCAACAGTCAGAACTGACCACGGAACAATAGACTGGTTCAAGATTGGGAAAGGCGTACGGCAAGGCTGCATACTCTCACCCAACCTTTTTAACTTGTATGCAGAAAACATCATGCGATGTGCGGGGCTGGATGAATGCAAAGCTGGGGTAAAAATTGCTGGAAGAAACATTAACAACCTCAGATATGCAGATGACACCACTCTGATGGCCGAAAGCGAGGAGGATCTGAGGAGCCTTCTAATCAAGGTGAGAGAAGAGGGCGCAAAGGCCGGGTTGCAGCTAAACATCAAAAAAACCAAGATTATGGCAACAAGAATGATTGACAACTGGA